CTTAAACTAAACTCGATTGGCTGATTTGTGGTCACGTGGATTTAAAACCAGCAGTGTTTCGTTTTCCCCTTGCGATTGAGGCAACATTATGATTGCACCTGTATATTGCAGGAATCGAACTGCGGTGGCACTAGTGAAATATATAGTACATGCACTAACCATTATGGTCTTTATCACCCTGAAATTTCGCCTCATTCTGTTATTAGTAATTAGCCTTTTCCCAAAAGAGATCACAGTGCATTCTGGGATCGTTTGGAGGGACAAAATATATGGTGACAGGCGTCAAATATGTGAAAAAGTAGAAAGATCTACTATCAAATACCAACTTTTTAGACGACCGAAAATGAAATATCTCCTTTTTACATTAAACTTTTAATTTAAATGTGTGCTGCCATATTTCTTGTCCCTCCAACATGGGATTTGCGCGACTAGATCGACCCAGGACTTTGGGAAATGGCTAATAGTGTTACCTCATTATGTTATTAGAATGATCCAGAATGAGTGGAATATGATTCTCAATGTTCAAATTTGTTATTTATTTTTTTATTTCAGCTCCCTCCTACATTGACGAGTAATGCTAATAGAAGGATTGTCGAAAAATTTAAGCGTGCTTTGTTTTCCCAGCAAACGGGCTCTTTTAATTTAAAAAGTGAAATTAAGAAAGTAAGTATGCCACTTTTCTTTTGTGATCCCCGTGTTAATAAAATCCTTTTAATTTACAGTCCGTCGATAGCTATAATCGAAAAAGTGACGTTTATAAACATTTTAAATATTTTTAGGTGCTCGAAGGATCGAAAGAAATAATCGATTTAAGTTTCGGATTTGATCAACCTACGTATCTTTCATTTCAAAACACTACGAACTCTCAAGGTAAACAGGAAGTATGATACATTCTCAGAAATACTGATCTCTATTGGGAATCCTATATTCAACAACTGGTCAATGGCGCGCGGCACGTTATAAATTTAACCAGATACCCTAGGTTCGATTTCGTTGTGATATTCAATTAAGCATTTTTCGGGGGCCAGTTGTATAAAACTCTGAACACTACTTTTTTACCTCTATTTTGCAGTTAAATAATTAGTTAACTCTAAAGTACACGATTTTTATTGGTTAACGTTGGTATTAACTGCGTGCTACCTGGATGCATCTAGTGATGCTACTGTGCTTCAATTGCATTTTCGTCGCCTGAACAAATTGTTTGCGCTTAAAGAATCACAGTTAACCAAGATGCACTGCGCGCTAAAATGTTTTCATTGTCTTGTATTCCGCCATTTTGTTAGCCAGTTTATTGACGAAATATTGACATCCGAAACGTATCCTTATCAATCTGCTAATTTCTTAGACAATGTCATATTTTCTATAGTTGGAATATGTTAATAGTCATTGATTGATATTTTGGCGTGTGTATTTATCTTAATCAATGATTATAGAAAGTTTTATCATTTTATAAAGTAGTGGCTAATCATGGCTTCTATATTTCTCGTTCGTGGAAGGCCAACAACGGGCAACAAGTGAAGGTATATAAAAAATAATATCGTTGACAAGTTCACCGATACTTGAACAATCGTCCTTTGGACGGAAAGGAAAGAAAGCCATGGAATACGGGGGCTTTCGCATAGCGAGTTCGCCGAAATCCTGCTCCATCAAAGCATGAACGAACTGCGTGAACGTAGGCAGGAATTAGGATTTCATCAAAACACCAGCGGGTAAATGTATTGAAGTTTTTTTTGTTTATAATAAAGCTAATGCATATTATTTTTAGTGTATGACTATTTTCGAAGACAACACTATTTTTGCTCCCCGTATTTGTAAACATTCACATAGCGCGCAATGCATCTTGGTTGACTGTGATTCTTTAACTACTTTTTATACAACCGACCTCAGGAAGTGATTAGACTACATTTAAACGGCACAAATTTCTCATTGTGATTATTGTAGCAAGTCCGATGCAAGCAGAATTGGTAGAAGGTGACACACATGGTGCTGGCATAACTTATGAACAGATGCAGGTATTTTAATTTAACTCAGTGTTTTAATTTTTTTTAATTACCTGTAATATAATAATATACCATGTATACTGAAGCTATGTTGGATGAGATTGAGTAAATCTTCCCAGCATGCCTACGACAGAGGATGTTTCGAATAATTACAAATTCATTTCCATTTTGAAGGCCATCGTCGAAAGTGTGCTGATGGAGAGTGGCTATTATGATGTTTCACCACATATTAAGTAACTATATGGAGTATTTCACGTCTTCCTTCTTCCCTTCACACACGAATTAACAAATAGATGAAATTTTGCTGTTAGATACACAGTTTACATCACCATGGCGAATGGGTCACTGATATTCTTACCACGCAGGCTTAGAAAATATAGTTTTCTTCCTGGCAGCAAAATCCAAAGTCAATATAAAACTTCGTGTTAGGTAGATTTCAGAGTACGTATATAGTGCCGTACAGCACGATAAACTTCCATCTCGGCCATAGAAATAATAGATATTTCTATGATCTCGGCACAAGACAATTTCGAACTATATGCAGGCTTTCCATTGTAAAATATAAGATGACTGAAATTTCCTGCCAGATATAAGAAAATTTCTGCGAGGGTATTTTGTTAAATGTTTTGACGTAATCCTCATTAGTATTATTATCTGTCCTTTTCAGGCACCACCGCCCGCCGTTAGGACCTATTGGTGGATTGAATGGAAGATAAATATACCAGAACACCAATGATTTAAGGTGGCTCGATATAGTTATCACAAGAACCCTGCTCAAGAATCGCGAAGTCAAAACCGGGTGCCCATTTTTACGCGCAGGTCGCGGAAACTGATTAACAAAATGAAAGAACTTCCAAAATGACATGACGTGAGCAGTTGCTCGCGCCATATCACGCCATTGCGCGTGTTATATAGCGTTTTATATCAATTGCTGACGTCATTAGAATTTCCCATTTTAGAAAAACAATGCGCTATATCTCTTTATTTTGTCTGGTGACCAATGTTCAAATTTTGCATGCTGTATTGCAGCGTTAAAAACTTTCATTATACAAAAAATAAAGAAATTCTGTAATGCCAAAAAAATTTTACCGAAGAATATGACATTTTCGCATTTTCCAAAAAATTGACATTACAGAATTTTTTTATATTTTGCTAATTGTTAGCTTTTCGTCCAAGTAAAATAATGCACGAAAAAAAATTGGGGGTCACCATGCTCCTTTTCCAACTATACGAGACGAAAGACCATTTTGGAGTGAATTTCGTACACGTATGTCGTCATAGCAACGAACTATCTGTTACTAAAACTAATACAATTTGAAAGTAGAGTTATCAAAATATATAAAAAAAATCAATATCTGCTGAATAAATCCTAAAAATGCGTAGTTTGGACATGTCAAAGTGTTGAACACCTGAATTTTTGAAAACTGTATCGAACCACCTTAATAACATTTTTATAATTAATCTTCTTACGCATTTCAGACATTTGTACATACTAGTCACAGTATTAAGTATTTTTTATTAAATTGAAATAACATAAATTTATATGCTGATGAAATTTGGTGTGTGTCAATATCGATAATTATAACGATGTTTGTTAACGAACGATATTATATGAAGTACTTGTTATTATGACCGCTGGAATAGTCTCGCGGGCGACAAAACGTGACTTGAAGGTTGTAGACACTGAGCTATACTATAACTGGAGGACGTGCTCGGCATCAAAAAGTGTCGCCAAAAACATGGCGGATTTCGGCCTTTGCTGACGCCAGAATGACGCCATCTGGTTCCTTTTGCTCATGCAATTACCACTGAACAAGGCTCAATTTTGAGCCCGCTACAATTTTCACTCCCCCTGGTTTTTGCAAAAAATATTTTGTTGTTTTTGCAGTCGTAGTTTTGGATTTTTTACATAATTTTGGACGTCGACTATTTTTTTCAAAGATGTGCAATCTGTACAAGTTATCCTTGTTCGCTAAAGACAATAAACCTAGAGAAATATCGGCAAAGACGACATTTGAAGCCAGTTGAGACGAGCTGACAGCCTCGGACGGGTAAAATATAATATTTCACAGTTAGTGAGTTCTCGAGAACCTGAAATACTGTAAATATTTCGTGAAAAATTTGTCATATTGATGGGATATGATTATATTTAAATACGATGGATAATGCTTTATTTTAGCCACAAGTATTTAAAGTTTTTGTTGCAGAAAATACGTCGACTTTTATATAATATAGTTTCATTTATTTTTATTAAATATTTAAATATTGCTGATAGTCCTGATATATATTGAAGCTCTTTGTATCTTGATATTTGTATCTAGCAGTATGAAACCATACATGTATCAGTATTTTGTGTTTTTATTTACTAACTTTGTACATCAAATGGTGCTTTTGTGGGGAATACAGTATGTGCATGATGTCATTTGTAGGAAGAACACATTTCAACTAATGTGGAACACAGATGGCATTGTAGTTACTGTCTTCTCTGATAGTATTTGGATAAAATTTCAATGAGGGGCTTGACACTTCATTTTTATCAAAGATAGGGCATGGCCAGTGCCCACTCATTGCCCTACTTAATCCCTCCCTTTCAATTTCAAGTAAGAAAATTAAAAAAAAATAATCCATTTTCAATGTTCTCTACAGGCCTACTAGGTCATTGTGATGAATCACAATATTTGAGAAAAACTATTAATAACAATTTTACCAATGACCAGTCCCATATTTTACTGATTAGAATTCCTTTTTCTGATTTTATCAACAATCTTAGCAGAAAATGGGGGTGCACAGGCAGCACAGCCCCCTGCCCCACACACAAGGTACACCCTGAGTTAAGCCATACTGTACTTCAGGCACCCTTGGCTTAAAATTCAGTATTTTTTGTGCATTTCTCTTTTCACATGCTTTTTTCTTTGCAAAATTATCCCACATTTATAACACAGTACACAGCTGAAGTAATTTAATTTAACTTTTTCAAAGAACAATAATTAATTACAATAAATTATTTTAAAATCTAAACTGTTCTAATAACTTTGTTGCCCCACTGGCTATGACTAATTTGCTCTCTGCTGTTCAGTATCTTGAAACTTCTAGGGGTACTCTTACTAGGGGGTACTACTGGTCCTGGCCAGTACACCACTACTCCTGCTATTTGAACCTCCAAAGACCTTGTGTTTCATTCTTGTCCACATTAAAGTTTCAACCTAAATAAGAAAAGTGAGTAATGTTTAAATATATTGTCATAATTAGCTAGTCTATCATTGGGTCATTCCAGAAAACATCCATACCACCCCCACAGAGGAATTAGGAAGTTAACCCCCTACCCCCTTAGGATGTCCTAATACATTTACTATTATCAGAAACAATTTTTTCTTCCTTCCCCCTCTGGATGGCAGATATTTCCTCTGTGGGGGGAGTATGGATCTTTTCTGGAATTACCCATTGTGAGGATTATTAAGACAGAATATCAGACCCCTCACTACAGAGGATATTGCTGTCATCTCAAGAGGGAAGCAGGACAAACCCCTCTATCATAGTAAAATGTTTGAGGACATATATTAAACAACTGAAGGAGAAAGGTGTTGACTTGTATTCCTCTTTTTGGGAGGTGTGAATGTATTGTGGAATTACCCATGAATGCTTGGTCTTTGTGTTGAGGGTATCAACAAAACATTTGCTTGTATTGCAGAGATGGTATATGCACAAAATAGTGATTTATTGCAGCAAAAAGTTGCCCCATGGCCATTACAACTCAAGCTGCTGTCAAAAGTGCCATATACAAATTGGTTGTGCACACCTCCTACACCACACATATACATGACTAACTGCAGTATTGCACAGTAGGCAACTGCTGTTTAATACAAAATCTGGCAAAGACTAGCAGTTTAATAATATAAAGTTAAGATGGTCACAGGAAACATATTTATTAATATTATATAAAATATTAAAATCCAGAGCTTACTAAATGCTTACAATGCTTATTGTAAGTGTAAGGGTTTTAATAAATAGTATATAGAAGGACACAAAATATTTAAAACTACTGTAACTGGCAATAAAAACCGAGAGTAAAAACACAAAAGCCAGAGCTTGAAACAAAAGCAAAATTTCATACACACAAATTTTTTTAGCCATCTGAAAAGTTTTTAAAAAAATCTTACCTGAAGAAAATACTCTACTCTTCGTTTATAGCGTATTGCAGCATCCACAAGGAAGGCATTTTTTCCTCGACTTTGTAAAACAAGCAAAGTAGGAGAAAAATATTTTTAGCTGGAAACAAAAACATTTTTTATCGAAAATCCAGGGGGGTGAAAGACACCGTCAAAAGCAGAGGATCGCGGTTTGTCAGTGGTAAATACCATTGCCAAAAGGAACCAGATGGCGTAAGCAAACGTGAAAATCCGCCATGTTTTTGGCGACACTTTTTTGACTGGCGGAAGATAGGAGCACCTCCTCCAGTAATATTATAGCTCAGTGGTAGGTATGCGCAGGAGACTAAGTGAACTCAAAAGGTCTTTTGAGTTCACTGGGTGTGCATGGTATAAAACATTCTTATATATACAGTATTTTCACCTCTTGAAATCAAGTAGGCCCCATGGTGTAATGGTTAGCACTCTGGACTTTGAATCCAGCGATCCGAGTTCAAGTCTCGGTGGGACCTCTCGTTTTCATTTTTTTCCCTGTAAATCTTCTCGTATATTTTTTAAAATTTTTATTCAGTTCATTTTATTTAGATGAAGTTGTTGAATTAGAAAAAAAATACAAAAGCTTTAAAACAGCGTTTTACGTAATTAAAGGCTTTATCAAAAACATTTCAGTACTAGGCCCAGACCTTCAGTTCATTTCGCGCAAAGCTAAGGCCGCTAGTCCATACCTGCGAGCGGGTTTGAAACTCATTGGTTGCTTGGCAACGGTATACACCATGTTGACAATCGACATCTTGTATTCTTGTCTGTATAGTTTTATATATAAAACAAAATTGCACATAGAAGAAAATTTGACAGGAAAAACACTTATCGAGGCTTGTTTTTTGGTGTGTTAAGTTAAAGAATATCCAACAATGTCTATTGCATCATTGACAGCGAGGCATGTGTTTGGTATTAAAGGCGATGTTGCCGACAACATTTGCTACTTGGATGAGCAAACAATCGTGTTTCCCACTGGATCAAACTGTATCTTGTACAACATCGATCAAAAATCACAACGATTTATTCCTGGTACAGACAAAAGTCCTGGTATCACAGCCATGGCAGTGAGCCCTAACAGACGTTATGTAGCTATCGCAGAAAGAAGCGAAAAAGCAATCATCACAATTTATGATCTGCATACGTTAAGAAAAAGAAAAGTGCTCACATACCCTGATGGCGCGGCTACGGAATATGTAAGCTTAGCTTTTTCTCCTGATTCCAAGTATTTGATATCCCAGGGCGGGAAACCTGACTGGATTTTGTTGTATTGGACATGGGAAAAGGCAAAAGTGATGGCCTCTGCAAAGGCAACAAATCAAACCAATTCACCAGTGCATCAGGTACGTATTTATTGCCATCTATAGTATCTGGTATTACTCTGATACTTGTATCATTAAGGGGCTGTTTACATGAGCCCAGTTTGCAGGGCTGGCTCGCTTAAACGGGGCGCCCGGCTTCATGGTAATTTCCAACACAAAGCAATTTTACTTGAGGGCTCGTTCAGACTGAGTGCCCGGCACTGGTGCCCAATGTTCAAAATGGTTCACAAAACATGTTGAGCACAGTGCCGTTGTTGAGTACTACCTCTAGAGGTAGTGCCCGTTCTTGGGCACTGTGCCCAATTTCATTTGAAAGCGTCGTGTTCAAACTGGGAGCCAAAACAAGTGCCGGGCACCCAGTCTGGACGCAGCCTAAGGATGACAAACCGGGCCAGCCCGTTTAGCTGGGATCCCACTTGACTCAAACGGGGCGCCCGGTCAGCCGGGATGAAATTTCTCCATGTAAAGTATCCAGCCCGGGCAACCGGGCTAGAACAAAAACTTCATTGAAAACAAAAATAAAAGACAGAAACTGATATTTTTCTTGACAAAGTTTTATTTCTTCAATTAATCTTGCTGACAAAGTAGTTTTAATCGATTAAATTTGCCAATAAAGCACAAATTCGACTTCCGTGACAGACGTTACACTGTTAACTCGTAAACAAGTTTTTCCCGCCAATTTTCATCAGCCCGGCAAACGTCTCATCCCGGCTAGCCGGGCTCATGTAAACAGCCCCTAATTGTGTTTTGCCCACAATTATATTGTTCTTTGATCATTAATTTAACTGACCCAACCGTAACCATAACCCTAAAGTATATATTGTGGCCACCAGTCAGTGGGGAAAGTTTGTATGCTTTCAGCTTTCTATATATTTACTATTGATGCTTTCTATATATTTACTATTGATGCTTTCTATATATTTACTATTGATGCTTTCTATATATTTACTATTGATGCTTTCTATATATTTACTATTAAATTTTCGAAATCTTGGTTGCACCAATTTCCCAACTTTCCAGTCGGGCCTATCAGCCACCCGAGGTGCGTCAATCCCGGACGCACAGAACGTGCAACATTTGGTTTTTATCCCATAAACACTGTACTTAATTCTATGTCTAGATTACCTTCATGGCATTTTTTTCTTTGGTTTTTCTTCATTCTCAGTAGGTAATTAGTCACAAAAAAAGTTGTTTAAAGTTTAGGTTTATCGGCTAAATCTTGTCCGCCATTGTTATGTCACGGACAGCAATGTAAGCAGTTTTATTGCGGGTGAGTTTGGTGAAGGGTTGCTTTGAGGTGAGTTTGAAAAAACTCACCTGCTCAGAAACAATCAGAAAGCCACCTTTAGCATACCGTAGGTATGGGATAACATCTCAGATTGCGAAGTAACTAATTACAAAGAGAGGCATTAGTGAAATTTAACAAATTATTATAATAATAAATACTTTATTTAAACTGTTAAAAATCCCATCAGCAATGCTGCTGGTGTTAACGGGAGAACAGTGATTGCAATTATCAATGATTGCATGTATACAATATAAACATGCATCCTATATACTAAAAATATGAGAATTGTTGTCAAGTTCTAAAAGATGCGCGTAAACAGTACGTTTAAATTTTGAGAGTAATATCATTTCTCTAATGTTTAATGGTAAAGAGTTCCAGTCTTTTGTACCAGCATACTTGAAAGTAGATTGAACTAGTATTGCACTGTTCACCTTCTACTCCTTCTGCAGATCAAGCAGCGTCTTATCCCTCAGGTCTCTGTTGTGCATGCAACGTCTGAATCTCTCAGTTGACTAGGGCAGTCCAAGTTACACACAGTATCTTGAAAATACACATAAAGCGTAAAAATCGTCTCCTGCTGTGCAATGTCAGCAGCCTTAGTTCGCTGCTCATCTCTTGAGAGCATTTTTGCCTTCCTTTGTGAAGGATAATCCTCAAAGCACGATTCTGAAGTTTCTCGACCCGCCTCGTTTGGATTATTCCGCACTCGTGCCAATTAGTCGAACCATAGTCCAAGATGGGTAGACAAGTATAGTTTGTTACTCTGTAGATACGGAGTAAAATTACGGAAGGTAGAAATGATGATATGCGATTGAGTAAGCCAAGTTTTGGATACAAGCGTGTCAATATTCTGCTAACATGCTGTTCCCATGACAGAATGTTGCTTATTCGAACACCGAGATAGTCAGATGTAGTGACCACATCAAGGATCTCATTGTCCAGATATAGATTTCAATATCATTTGCCCTTTTCAGTGCATGCCGTGATCCAATTACCATAGATTTTGTTTTTTTGACATTTGGAATCATTCTGTTATCTGCCAACCATTGGTCCACTCGTTTGAGATCTTTATTCATTTGCGACTGAGCTACATCAAGATTAGGATGTGAACAGTGGGTTTCATTATCGTCCACATAAAGAGATGGTCTTGAAGAGAGGAAGCTGTGGACTATTGGATTGATCGAAAAGCAAACAAAACAGCGAGGGACCGAGCACAGAGCCTTGTGAGACGCCGTAATTAGTTGGTAACAGTTGAGATTGGACACCATTACACACGACATATTGTTGCCTGTCAGTTAGATATGAGCAGATCCAATTAGCCTCGATTTCCCCAAACCCATATTTCCTTAATCTATCCAGAAGAACACGATGATCAATAATATCGAACGCCTTCCGCAGATCGATAAAGGTAGCCATTTAGTGACTGAATATTGTTTTTGATCCACAGCGAGTTTCAGGGAATCTATGACTTGTATTAAAGCTGTTACGGTCGAGCTATGTTTTTTGTACGCGTACTGACTGAGTTCGAAGAAAGTTTGGAATTCCTGGTCATATTCATGCATCTGGTTGTTTACACACGATTCACATATCTTGGATAAAATTGATATTGGTCTGTAATTATCTCGATTTGTAGCTATATTTCCCTTGAAAATAGATGAAATTTTGGCAGTTTTCCATCTATTTGGAAAAACTCCAGTCTCGAAGGAACTATTGACTATACACGACAGACTTTGAGAAATACAGTTCGAGGATATCTTAAGGATCTTCGCCGGGATGTTATCAGTCCCAGTAGCTTTGTTGGGATTTAAATTAGCCAACATATTGGAGATTTCAACATCAGTTGTTGGACGGAAATGGAATTTGGTTGGCGAGGAACTTTCCAATGATGAGGGGAACTGGGATGTTGGAACATGATGGGAGTCAAGGTTGGAAGTAGAAGAAGTCGTTCTGGAAGATCTGGCAGAAAGGAGATTTGTGGCGACCGATGTAAAATGTAAGTTCAGAGAATCGCTAATATCTTTAGGGTCCACTATATGAACGCCGTCGACAACGAGTTTATCAATTTTGGTCGTTCGGTTCTTCGATGGAAGTACTTTTTTCATTAGTTTCCAAAAAGCTTTAGGATCACCGTGGCAGTCGTCTAATTTGCGTTGGAAAAAGTCAGATTTGGCTTTACGCAACCTGCTTGTGACACAATTCCGAAGACGTTTCTATACGTAGATGTTAAAGTCTTCGACCGATTTAGTTTTCAAAGCCTTTTTACGAGTTTGGTCTCTGTTACGCATCAAAACTAGTACACTACTGTCTATCCACGGATACGAGTTCTTCCTAATTCGCTTACATCTCACGGGAAAGTAAATATCCATGACTGGCGTAAAAAGTTTCTCCCAAATTAATAACTTGTCGTTAGGGTCGTCAAACATGTTCATCGTATCCCATGATATACTGCTAATAGCGTTTTGGAAGCATTCGTGATTTGCATTTAAGTCAACTTTTCGAGTGGATATTACGCGATGCTTACTATCTTTCTGACGGACTGAAATCAAAGATCCGAAGATAGGAAAGTGATCACTAAATCCAGACTGTAGAACACCAGTTGACCTGAAAAGTTGGGGAGATGATGTTATCAACAGATCGATAAGTGATTCGGAAGAGGCGGTAGATCTTGTCGGTTCACGTATGAGTTGTGTTAGTTTGCAGACATTAAGGAACTCCTTAAGAGCTATAGTTTGTGCAGCAGATTCGTCAAGGCAGTCCGGCACAATTCAAGTCACCGATTATAATTATCTGTTTATCTGATCTTAGAGCTTCGCGCGTAACGTCGTCAAGATAATCAATGAAAGGCTCGACAGGTTGTTTAGGTGCTCGATATGCGCATATTAGTAGGCAGGGTAGATTCTTGCTTATTTTGAATTCGATGCATAGTGTTTCAAAGTGTGGCTCCTCGAGTTCCAGTTTTCGCTCGTATTTTAACCCGTCTTTTATATATATAGCTCCGCCACCGCCACGGGAGTTTCTGTCATGTCGTTCGATACAATATCCGTTAATATCCACTTCCGTATTACTTATGCCGTTGTTGAGCCAGGTCTCCGTTGTAGCTATAAATAAAGGTTTAACCGATTTCATAGCAGCTCGGAGTTCGTCCACTTTTGGCAATAAGCTCCTACAGTTAAAATGCATTACCATATCTGTATTACTATTCAAAACACAGACATTGGTGTTGGGAATTATGGAAGGACCAGGATTAGTTGCAATGTCACCGGTCAATAGATGTAACTTATTATTTTTAATGCCAAACTGGGGATGAAATGGGGATGAAATGAATAAAAAATATTTGGTACTAGCTCAATGGGAACTTTGTATATTACAAATACACCATACCAATATAATTATTGCTAGGCAGCACACTATTCATGCGTGTAATTTTACTGATACTCAGTCTTTTGTGCCCATGCATGTCCAGTCTTTTGATCTGCTAAGTCTATTATAGATGTTTTCTACTAAATTCAATTGTTTCTTCAAAGTAGAAAATTTGAATTATACACTGCATACTACATTAAATTTTCCAGTCAGTTTCATTAGGTTAATCTGGCTATCTGATCTGTCTGGACTAAATTGTGTCCAATAGAAAATAGAAAGTTTTATCAAGGCCACATGGCCTAAATCACTCCAGAGGAAAGCAGTACATTCTCCTTCATGATGTTATTGGCATTTTAAACCTTTTCGAAAATGCAATTAATATTTGGACAACACAAAATGAGTCCATTCTATTCCCAGTATCTTTTGCCAGGGCCAAAAATATGTGGGTTTCCTGATCTAACCCAGCTTTTGGACGCCGAAATCCCGACCCTAAACATTTTTATTGGATCATGCTCATAGAGATTATAAATAACACTAGAGGGGACAAGAACATGACTTTATCCAGCCATATAAATGAGATGTGTAAGAAAGCCATTCTAAACATAAAATCAATTGGCCGGATAAGAAAATATCTGTCTAAAGAAGACCTAAAACGACTTGTAAACGCACTGGTAATTCTCGTCTTGACTATGCAAACAGTATATTGTATGGACTCCCCAAGTACGAGCTGGACAAATTGCAACGAGTCCAGAATGCAGCAGCCCGGTTAATTACAGGGAAAAATAAATCTGATCATATAACACCCGTACTGAAAGAATTACATTTATTTTGTTACCGATTAAATATCGAATAAATTTTAAAATAATTCTCCTAGTTAACAAGTCACTACATAAACTAGCTCCAGATTATCTTCACAAAATTATTGAAGAAAGATGTCCTACACGTACACTTCGATCCTCCCGATGTTCACTGCTAATTTCCACTCCAAAGATATACACCATGACATATGGAAAGCGTGCTTTTTCTCATGCTGCCCCGGAACTTTGGAACTCTTTACCAGAATACATTAAATCCGCTGAGTCTATTTTAGAATTTAAATCTTCTTTGAAGTTTGAAGTTTATCTGTAATATAAGTTTAAATTTTAACTAATATATATAATCTAAATATAAACTATTTCAGTAAATTTAAATAGTTTTAAGCCATTGTAAGTGCATTTGAGATTTTTAAATACGCATGAGAACATCATTATTATTATTATTATTATCTTAATTCAGTTAAAGAAATGCGGCTATTTTGGGCAAAAAATTAAAATGCTAAAATAAGAGCAAGTTTGAGATAAAATCTCTAAATTCTTGTTTATGGCGGTTAAGTATAGTCCCGTTTTGATATATTTGCCAAGCATTTTTACCTCACTTTTGTCAAAAACATATTTCTGAGAGCGCTCCAAAATAATGCTGATGTCAGCAATTTTGATCTTTTCAAGAGGAATTTTTTGGGCAATGCTTGTAGTAATGAATGATATGCAAAACATATAAAACACCCAGTTTTATGACTCTTGTTTTAAATTTTTCTGATTTCAAGTGTAACCCAAGAATTGTGTGATGTTTATTCGGGATTTCAATTTACCCCGATTACCGCGCTCATTAAACGTAAAGTTTTTCGGTTTCGGCTGCACCACACGCGAAACTGGACTGTTAATAAAGTATTAACATATTTTCCTTCAGTTGTCCAAGTTTTTCTTCAGTTGTCCAAGTTTTTCTTCAGTTGTCAAGTTTTCCTTCAGTTGTCCAAGTTTTTCTTCAGTTGTCAGGTTTCCCTTCAGTTGTCAAGTTTCCCTTCAGTTGTCAAGTTTTCCTTGAGTTGTGAAGTTTACCTTCAGTTGTCAAGTTTTCCTTCAGTTGTCAAGTTTTTCTTCAGTTGTCAGGTTTTCCTTCAGTTGTCAAGTTTTCCTTCAGTTGTCAAGTTTTCCTTCAGTTGTCAAGTTTTCCTTCAGTTATCAAGTTTTCCTTCAGTTATCAAGTTTTTCTTCAGTTGTCAGGTTTTCCTTCAGTTGTCAAGTTTTCCTTCAGTTGTCAAGTTTTCCTTCAGTTGTCAAGTTTTCCTTCAGTTATCAAGTTTTCCTTCAGTTATCAAGTTTTCCTTCAGTTGTCAAGTTTTCCTTCAGTTGTCAAGTTTTTCTTCAGTTGTCAGGTTTTCCTTCAGTTGTCAAGTTTTCCTTCAGTTGTCAAGTTTTCCTTCAGTTGTCAAGTTTTCCTTCAGTTATCAAGTTTTCCTTCAGTTATCAAGTTTTCCTTCAGTTGTCATGTTTTCCTTCAGTTGTCAAGTTTTCCTTCAGTTGTCAAGTTTTTCTTCAGTTGTCAGGTTTTCCTTCAGTTGTCAAGTTTTCCTTCAGTTGTCAAGTTTTTCTTCAGTTGTCAAGTTTTCCTTCAGTTATCAAGTTTTCCTTCAGTTATCAAGTTTTCCTTCAGTTGTCAAGTTTTCCTTCAGTTATCAAGTTTTTCTTCAGTTGTCATGTTTTCCTTCAGTTGTCAGGTTTTCCTTCAGTTGTCAAGTTTTCCTTCAATTGTCAAGTTTTCTTTGAGTTGTGAAGTTTACCTTGAGTTGTCAAGTTTTCCTTCAGTTGTGAAGTTTACCTTCATTTATCAAGTTTTCCTTCAGTTGTCAAGTTTTCCTTCAGTTATCAAGTTTTTCTTCAGTTGCCAGGTTTTCCTTCAGTTGTCAAGTTTTCCTTCAGTTGTCAGGTTTTCCTTCATTTATCAAGTTTTTCTTCAGCTGTCAAGTTTTCCTTCAGTTGTCAAGTTTTTCTTCAGTTGTCAAGTTTTTCTTCACTTGTCAAGTTTTCCTTCAGTTGTCAAGTTTTTCTTCAGTTGTCAAGTTTTCCTTCATTTATCAAGTTTTTCTTCAGCTGTCAGTTTTTCTTCAGTTGTCAGGTTTTCCTTCAGCTGTCAAGTTTTTCTTCAGTTGTCAGGTTTTCCTTCAGTTGTCACGTTTTCCTTCAGTTGTCAGGTTTTCCTTCATTTATCAAGTTTTTCTTCAGCTGTCAAGTTTTCCTTCAGTTGTCAAGTTTTTCTTCAGTTGTCAAGTTTTTCTTCAGTTGTCAAGTTTTCCTTCAGTTGTCAAGTTTTCCTTCAGTTGTCAAGTTTTTCTTCAGTTGTCAAGTTTTTCTTCAGTTGTCAAGTTTTCCTTCATTTATCAAGTTTTTCTTCAGCTGTCAAGTTTTTCTTCAGTTGTCAAGTTTTTCTTCAATTGTCAAGTTTTTCTTCAGTTGTCAAGTTTTTCTTCAGTTGTCATGTTTTCCTTCAGTTGTCAAGTTTTTCTTCAGTTGTCAGGTTTTCCTTCATTTATTAAGTTACAGAATGTTGTTACATGGAATGTTGTCTCACGCCAAGGCCGCCGTTTGTTTTCCAAAAACATAGAAGTATTTCTTGTACACTTGCTGAAGTTTTCCTTTTGGTCGCACAGATGAACAAATTGTCCTTGGCAAAAATTGACAATCTTTTGTCGTACCGAAAAGCAAATAAAATAAGTTATCAAACTTGTCAAGGAAAAATTGCCGGTCTGTACGCGGCTCAAGAGCATTCCAAATTGGTGACATTTTCATAGAAAATCCCTCATATGCGATATAGCGCTAAAATATTTCGTAGACTACGATCTCTTCATGTTGAATCGCATTCTGATGGCCATTTTCTGCAAATTTTGGAATGCGCGTAGCCATGCATAAGTTAGATAAATGACCAGCAAAGTATGTTAACACTTTTTTTAACAGGAACGGTTTCGCTCGTGGTCCGTGAATACCTGTACCGTTTTTCAGCCAAACCCGCGACAATCCAAAAATCTATTCTCTGCCTACCCGTGCTTGCACATTCTAAGCCTTTGCTGGCTGTAACGTTGGTAAAGCGAGCTGAAAATGCCCCACTAGACATCTAGGGCAGATATTCACACCGACTCGTTCGGTTTGCATTGCCTAAGCGAGCGAAAAGTTTCACATGCACATTGTCATTCTATTGCTATAGCAGTAAATATCCTACTGTACATATACCATGCACGTTCACTTTTGCATAAATAAATGTAATAATTTTGTCTTGTCTTGATGTGAATTTTAGATTTCGTTCAACCCCCAAGATAACACGCAGCTCTGTGTCGTTGGTCAGGGAATCTTTAAGCTTTTCCGATACAGCGAAGGAAATCTGAAGCAGTTTGCGTTTCAGAAATTGGATCCGCAAAACTTTCTATCCCACGCGTGGCTCTCTGATGAGAAGATAGTGGCAGGCACGGATACTGGACGTTTATTGCTCTTTGAATCTGGAGAATTAAGAAATGAACTTCATGTTACTGGAGCCGCATCTCCTGCAGTAAAGTGAGTTGCAACATATGTTCCAGACAAAAAATTGCTCATTTAATTTTGCAGCCAAATGTATTTGTAACCATTTAAAGTTTTACTTGGCAAATTGGGAATCAAATTACTGTTTGTGAACGACGTCGGTGCCGTTGAACTGCTGGCATTGGTGACAGGGTCCCACTACTAACCCCAACTACAGTACAGTACATTTTAAAATATTGTTCAATTATATAGCGCTTCTCCGTGTTAGGATAAGTATCAGTGGCGGGATTGTGAAGTGACAATATTCTTTCATATTACGTCACGGGCGTGGCCATGACTGGGAAAAGTAATTTGGGGAGAAACTTTTACTTGTCCTCTCTAGGCCTGAACAAAATAGGGTAAATAACGTAAGAAGCATGCAAGCATGAACCCTAAATCGCTTTCATGCGACAGGACGGCACACAACGTCGTTCCCGTGAAGGCCATTATACCTGCACAAGAAGGAAGACCCTGGGAATGAGGTTGATCAGCACACTGCAAACGACCATTTCATTATTTATACGAAATGTATTTGTTTTAGAACGGGAGGAATGACAGCGATACCAGAGGCAGACTCCAGTCAAGATCTCTTACCGAAAGTGACAAGTATAGCTGCATTTTCGAAAGGATTTGTTTGTTCTGGTGGTGCTGGCTTCGTTCATTTGTTCGAGAAGACTGATGAAAAAGATGGGTTTAAGAAAACCAGAGAGATTAAAGTTCCAGTTGATAGTCAGAGTCCTGATCCACAAGCTTCGATTGCGAATCAGATTATTTCCACACTGACTGTGAGTCCTTCAGAAGAGACGTTAGTTTGTAGTACCAAGGCAAATCAAATGTACTCTATTACCATGTCAAGTGCTGATCTCGGCAAGGTAAATGCTATAATTTATACTTTTTTGACTTTTTTATTATGCTCAGTTGACCTTCTGGGCTTAGATTCCGACCGTTGGTGGTGCCCTCCTACATAGTTAACGGAAAAGAGATGATTGACCAGTGCAAAAAACAGAGTCACGACTATAGCTATAGTATGACGAGTTTCGCCGTTTATCGTCTTTAACGCAAATTCGCAAAATCCTGCTTGTGTAGGACTGTAGGTGCATGTATAATGGAGCCATATCTATCATGCTTTGATTCCTGCAAGTTTATACAGACTTAGTTCCAGACTCGTTAGTCGAGGAATTTTGTGCGGTTGCAAAGAAAAGTGAGTACCCAAATATTTAGAAGACCTCCTCCAATTTGAGGGATAAAGCAATTTCATAATGTTAATGTTAAGTAGAAAATCGCTGTTCTGAAAAGTTGTGTATATGATGCATGTATTGAGTCGTATCTCATTTTTCAATGCGTTGACAATAAAGGGCTATTAAAACGATGAATAGAGGTATAAAATAATATTAAAACAAATCGATTGCTTCATTGTTTGCTTAGGGTGATCAAGTAACATTCGAACTTCTGTGTCAATCATTCCACAACGGAGTAATAACAGGACTGGATGTCTGTATTCGTAAACCACTTATCGCCACATGTAGTTTGGATCGTTCTGTTCGTATATGGAATTATGAAACTTGGTAAGTATTGAAATCCGTTTGGGAAACAAAAAGCATTAATTGTTTCTGGTATCAAGGAACATTGTACACATGCCTGTTGTTTGCCAAGGGTGATTTTTGTCATAGTAATGAGGAATGTTTCCTAGTTTTCCCACATTTGGGAAAGACAGCTAGGGAACATTTTTCCGTAAAACTTTTCCCGTTTATGTATTATTAAATTGTCTATTTAACGCCAGACGATTTTATTCATGAAGATAAGAATCATCGGTATTAATGGCTAATTATTATATGGCAAGCGTCACTTCCGGTGAAATGGTGGACTGTGATTGGCTGAGAAGCACTTTCAGCGGTCCATTATTTTCCCGTAATTTCCGGCGGTCCATTACGTAAAAACAAACGCATGCATTGTAAAACAAAACAGCGAAACAAATTGAAAATTTGAAAATTGTAATTTGATTTAATACTTAGTAATAAGATATCTGCGAATGGTTTTTAGCATAGACGGATTTTGTGTGTGTGTGGGGGGG